TTTAATCGAGCATCATGCATCATAACACATATTGTCTGTTTGTACATGAGAGGGGTGGAGATTGTGTAGCACTATTGCTTCTTGCGTGGCATCATTCTGACAACATTGTCACACTCTGTAGATGTCGCTGCTCTTTAGGCAGAATGGGAAATAAACTGCATGTCTGTGAAATCAACAGATGTTGAAACTCTGCTGCATTCTGGAAAAAGTTTAAGCCTCATTAGTTGATCATCTGTACAGGAATGTGAAAAAATACACCTCAAACCAATTCCTGTAATTTGGATGCAGTAATTTAACAAAATGTGGAAAACAGGATTGATATAATATTTGAAGTAGCTGTTTGTTGGACTTTACCTGAAGGAAATATAGGGGCATTTGGAAGGAGACAGAATGAAGCCGCCAAAGTAGAGAAGGCCTTAAGCCTGTTAACACTTAGAATAAAGTAACCATTAATGCATTGGGCGCCATTTTTGTCTGCCATGACTTCATGACATTGTCTATATCTCAATCCCAATCAAAAACTGAGACGGTTTCAATCCATCCTCAAGTGTTCCATTTGGTGTTTTCCCTTTTCCTCCAACATAATTTTTGCCATGGGGATAATCTGGAATGCTTCATGCTAACTCAGTGAGAGGATGAGACTTGCTCAGCTGCTATTGGCCATTTTAGGCTAATGAGGGTCTTGTTGATTGTGGGAACCTGCCCTTCATAGGCAGTACTTGAACTTCCAGAGAACCTAGAAACCTGGCTTCTGCAGAGATACTTTTCCAAAACATTGTCAGACTTTATGCTGGCTCTTTATAAATGGCGATTTAGTGCTCTTTTGAAAAAGGACTAGACTTTGTTTGAAAACAGGTTTAGCCCTCTTTTTTGAGATAGTTTTGAGATAGTTCTATTATGCATAAAAGACTGGTTTAAACCAAGAAAACTGGCTCCTCCCAGTTATATTTTTGTGGTTCTGTCCTTGTTAGGTACATGACAGATTTTGTACAACTTTAGCTTGGTTTTGCATGGTTATACTTTTCATTTCATTTTACTTTCTTTATTTTTACTTTGGTTGATGAGGAGGGTGCCTCCATTTTGCTATATTCTGACTTCAATGGTGGTGATTGTTGTTATTATGCACAGGGCAATCATGTTTGCACGTTCTCCATCGTCATCCACTAGCCCAGAAGTGGGCAACTATGGCCCCCTTTATGCCTTGTAAACTTCAGCTCCCAGAATTCCTGAGCCAGCTTGGCTGGCTCAGGAATTTTGGGAGTTGAAGTCCACACGGCATAAAGGGGCCATTGTTGCCCACAGCTGCAGTAGCCAGGTCTGGCTACCATCAGCCACAAAGTCAGAACTGGATCTATTAATCATTCATCGTTCTTAATCAATTAGTCACTCCCTTATAGCCCTAGCAAAAAATAGAGTTGATTTATCAATCAATTCCTTCCATTTCATCACTCCTTTCCACCACCACCCCTCCCAATCTCATATCCAGGCCTTTTCTCTTTCATTCAGACTATTTTCAGACAGGGGTTTAGCACCCTTTCAGAAAAGTGGTAGACCCATGTTCAGAAATAGGCTGAGGGACACGTCATATGCCTGGGCACCTCTGCCACTGTGCCAAATATGTCATTTCAAACACATTCTTATGTGCTCAAGCCTGGCCCTTGTTAGGGAGCGTGATTATTGTTTTCCTGCCAGCAGTTTACTTTTTGGTGGGAAGAGAAATAAACTTTATTTTTATTTACTTCACAATATTCCCTTCTTGAAGCACTTCTGAGTGGCATACAACTTGGGGGCATTCACTAATTGCTTTCTTTAACTTACCCCCCCCCCATTAAATCCCTATGGATCGCAACCATTGATCATTTTGTTCCTAGGACTAAGCAGGAACAAGGGGAGGTACAATTTTTTAGACCTTTTCCATCTCCTTATGACTACCAAAATTTGTGAATGTCTTCCTGACAGTTGGTAATGTTAGGGGGTAAAAGACAACCCAAATCACTTCTGTTGCACAGAGGTAAAAGGGGTGGTGCTTTGATGACATGATTATGACCACCATCTTGGTTTTTTTATGGCCTTCATGCAGACCCCAATTTCTGCACTGGAGAACTGGTGACTTGACCAAAATCATCTAGTGCCTTGTTAGCTGAGATGAGATTTAAAGATGCCAGACCTCAAGCCCTTAGGCAGAAATGCTCCACACATTTATACATGGCTGTGATGTCAAGCAGATATCTCAGATTTTGGGCCCGTGGACTCCTTCCAGTCAACCTAACCAGGTCATTTTTGATGGTCTGCAACTATATAGATATTCCTTGATTTATGACAATTGAGACCAGAATTTTTGTTGTTAAGTTATCTAGGCGGTTAGTAAGTTGCACCCAATTTTACGATCATTTTGCCATGCTTGTTAAGCGAATCACTGCAGTTGTTAAGTGAATCATGTAATCATAAAACAAATGTGGCTTCCCTCATTGACTTTGCTTGTCGGAAGCCGCTGGGAAGGCTGCTAATGGCAGTCACGTGACCCCAGAATGTCGCAATCCTGGTAGATACGTGGTGGTTGCCAAACATCTGAATTTTGATCATGTGACCATGGAGATGTTGCAATGGGCGTAAGTGCAAGGACTGGTTGTAAGTTACTTTTTCAGTACTATTGTAATTTCGAATGGTCACTCAACAAATGGTTGTAAATTGAGGACTAGCTGTATTTAAAGGTAAAGGTTTCCCTGTCAATCATGTCTGACTCTCTCTTAGCTGAGGGAGCCAGCGTTCTCCGAAGACAATTTCCGTGGTCATGTGACCAACATGGCTACACGCCAAAGATGCATGGAACACTGTTACTTTCTCTCCGAAGTGGTTCCTATTAATCTACTCCCATTTGCCTGCTTTCAAACTGCTAGGTGAGCAGGAGTTGAGCCAAGTAACGGGAGCTCACTCCGATGTGTGGAACTTGGGTCTTGAACCCCGGCAAGCTTAGCTTGTCTTTAGCTGCTGAGCCATCGCACCGCCCCTGACTGTAGCTGTAGTTAACAAAGTATAAAACGTGAGCCTGACACTTGCAGCTTTGCCTGACCCTCCAAGTCATTTCTGTAATCTACCAGCATTTTAAATATACTACAAACAGGGGTGACTCAAAAAGGGGGGCACTTGCAGAGGGAGTGCTGGCAAAAATAGAAGTGTTGAGGAAGAATGCCACCCTCCCCTGCAGAAATCCAAATTTGACTGACTTCATAGCAAACTGGGCTTGTTCAGCTCACTGCTGCTCAGCTAGCCTCATCCTGATGCTGCAGTGCTTGCTATGCTCACGCCATCACTCACACGAGCTCTGATTTACATCACCCACATACCCCCTTTGCACTGCCCCACAGCTCTCAAGCCATCCCAGAGGGATGGGACAGACGCAGTAAGGGTGGGGAAGCCACAAGAGAGCAGAGGGCCTAGATCCATTAGGACAGAGGGATGGGGCACACTTGGTCACAGCCAAGTGGTGGCCTGTATTGCTCAAATTAAAGCACCATCTGAATTTGGGTTGGGTAGATGTCCCAGCCCAGCAACTGAGAGGTGGCCAGAGGCAGAGTTTGGTTTATTTACCAACATGATGCTCAGCACAGAAACCCTAGCTCCATTTTTTATGGATTGATTGGTTTGATTTCTATCCTGCCTTTATTCTTATTCAACTCACAGTGGCATACATAACACTCCTTTTGGGGAGTTGGGCTGAGAAAGGGGGACTGGTTCAAAATCACCCAGCTGGCTTTCATGCCTAAGGTGGGACTAGAACACATAGGTTGCTGGTGATTGGCCCAAAGTCACCCAGCTGGCTTTCATGCCTAAGGTGGGACTAGAACGCATAGGTTGCTGGTGATTGGCCCAAAGTCACCCAGCTGGCTTTCATGCCTAAGGTGGGACTAGAAGGCATAAGTTGCTGGTGATTGGCCCAAAGTCACCCAGCTGGCTTTCATGCCTAAGGTGGGACTAGAACGCATAGGTTGCTGGTGATTGGCCCAAAGTCACCCAGCTGGCTTTCATGCCTAAGAGGGGACTAGAACTCAGCTGGTTTATAGCCCAGCCCCTTCACCAATACAAACAGACTTAGGCAAGTGCTGTAGTCTCTGATGTGTACCCCAGCCATAGGAGCCCAAGTCCTCGATCTTTGCCCTTTTGCACGTGGCAGATTTCTCTCAAATGCTATGGGCAAACCATTGGCAACCAAGATTCAACTCAGAAGCTTGTGTCTAGAAATCCAGTAGATTTCGGGTTGGGGGGGGGGGAGATGCCCTTCCCGTCAATCTTTGTCAGTTGCTCCTGACTTGCCAGTTGCCCTGAACTGTTTGTGCTACTGTTGGACAGACAGGGAAGAGTCAGGCAAGCCAAGATAACTGGTGGTCTCTTTCTCTCTCTCTCCCCTCCAAGTGCCTCTCAGTGCATTTAGTGTCCTTTTCCTCAACTGCAAAGTGTGCAAGTACTTTTTCTCATCTGTGAAAATTAACAGCTCTGTATTGAGGCTGACTCATAAACATTTGTAAGTGAACTCAAAATACATGTCATCACCATAACGCTGGAAGAGGCAGGCTTGCAACCTTAACTTTGCTGAGCATGTAGCAGCGAAGGGTCAGCGCAATACCTTTTGTGGTTGTTGTTAAAATCTTGGAAATGATGGAGATGTGCATCTGATGTGGATAAAATGAATAATGGCAAGGAATGCATTGCGGGCTGAGATGTTTGTCCTTTAAATGGAAAGAACCTGTATTTTATGTACAAGACCTTTCAGGCAATGGACTTGCAATTGTGTGAATGGCTTTAAAAATTAAAGGTGGGCTGAGATATAAGTTAGGAAGCTGGGGCTGTATATGGGTGCAGAGGGACATACTGTATGTAGAGCATTAACTCTTTCCTTCAGCTGCTGTGCTTATTTGGCTCACCCCTCTAATATGCGCCTAACATTAATTTATCCATTGTTAATGCTGGCCAACATATCATGTCTGGATGTCTTATCTACTTACTGAGGATATTTTCCGTGTTCTCCGTAACAAGGGGCCCTTCAGGATCAGGGTCAGGCCTCGGCTCCAGGAAGTATTCAGAAGCCACACAGCTGCCTTTTTTCTGACCTAGAAAAAAGAGACAGTGCATAAAAATTCAGATAGCAAAAGTGGCCGATATTGGACAGTGTTTCTGAACCTCAGCGAGTTTAAAAGGTGTGGACTTCAACTCCCAGAATTCCCCACCCAGCATAGTTGAGGATTCCTGGGAGAATTCTGGGAATTGAAGTCCATATTACTTACAGTTGTTGAGGTTCAGAAGAATTGGTATAGGATCTTGAGGGAAGCGGTGGTATCTTTATGGAAGGAAGTCCCAAATCAGCAAGGCCAAATTACTATGTAGTCATATACAGTATATTTCCATTCAAACAAGCCACTTCTGTAAGACAAGTCAGCTCAGAGCTAGTAGCAAGCAGGACGCCTCTGACCATTTCCAAAGCCCTAAGCTAGACTAGAAAGAAGGCAGTCAGCTTTTGTTCTGCTGTCCAGAACATCACATGGATATGTTCCAGAGGCCCCAAGAGCCATCCTGGAAGAGATGCAACCCTTTTCTTTTACTCTTTCATCTTGGGATAAAAATTAACCAATGGCCTCAATATGTGCACCTCTACGGATAGGAGAGCAGGAAGAGACAAGTGGGGATCCTTTTTAGTGAGTGCCACAAAAGATCAGATCCTTACAGATCCCCACGTGAAGGTCCAGTTGAACTGATTTATTGCTAATCATGCCTATGCACAAGAATCTCCTTAACTAATGGGTTAATACCTGTTTGAGGTTAGATGGGGTCAACAGAATTCAAGGGACGTTGGGTTTAGTTCACTTATGGCTACGTAGGGTTTCGAGGCTGACCCCTCTTTTAACTCCTCCACTTCTTCTCCTACATCACTTCAACAGCTTCCTGGCAGCTGGTTCAGCCAGTTAACCTCCCCTTCTACCAGCATGCCACAGGCAAGGCCACTAGGAAGGGCCCCTGAGTCAAGGAACAAGTAGCCAAAGTCCCACGTTCCAAAGAGCATGTGGTATGCATATGCACTAGTTTGTTCATGAGATCTAGTGGATCAACATTGGAGACTCAGATTCAACTTCTACTTCCCACCATGGAAGTTCAGTGGGTGACATTGGGCCACTCACTCTTCCTCAGTGGCCCTACCACCTCATAGGAATATTGTTGTGGAGCAAAAGCAGAGGGGGAACTAAGGGGCGCAGGACTTTGAGCTCCAGGATAACAATCCAACAAGAAAACAAATAAAGAAATGTCTCTTATGTGCACCTCTTTATTGTACTACTCCACACACCCTACCTTAGATCTAGGAAAGGAAAGGAAAGGAATGGAATGGAATGGAATAGAATAGAATAGAATAGAATAGAATAGAATAGAATAGGAGCTGAAAGGGACCCTGGAGGTCTTCTAGTCCAACCACCTGCTCAAGCAGGAGATCATACATCATCTAGGACAGGTGATTGTCTAGTCTTTTCTTTAAAATCTCCAGTGATGGAACACCCATGATTTCTGGGGGTAAGCTGTTCCACTGGATGATTGTCCTCACTGTCAGGATGTTTCTCCTTAATTCCAGGTTGCTTCTCTCCTTGATCAGTTTCCAACCAGTTTCTCGTCCTTCCCTCTGGTGCTTTGGTGAATAACATGACCCCTTCTGCCTTGTGGCAATCCCTCAGATACTGGAATAAGTATTGTCATTACTTGACAATTGATTGATTGATTGATTGATTATGTACCATCAAATTGTTTTAAATTCCTGGGGTCTGTGTGTGTGCATATGTGCACGTCCACAAACACAGATATACTAAAGCTCTCATTCTTGTAACTTTTAACTGGGCAAAACAGTGCGTCATAGGGCAACAATTTTTGAACTAAGACATTTCAAATGGGCTAACGTACAGAATATATCCAAAACCTGGGACCCAGGACTCCCATTCAGGTGAAATTTGGCAAATTTTATAAAACATTTTTATCACACAAAAATCATCATAAAACAGTTTATGGTGTAATACAAAATGTCACAAAACATTTTCTGTGCTGATGTTTGTGTCCAGTTTATTTGGATATTCAAGCTGGAGGCTGACAGTTTGATTGTGCTATGGAATTCAATCTGGGCTACTTTCAAAACAGATACGTCTCTGAATTCATTTCCAATAAAGGCAGTGCATTAGAAATTCTGTCACTGTTAAAAACTCTGAAGAATCTGGTAAGGAAATACTTCTGAAGGGATGAGCCAATGGGTCATAGAATTCCTAGTATAGGCAGTCCTCGATTTATGACCACAATTGAGCCCCAAATTGAGCAAGACAGTCGTTAAGTGAGTTTTGCCCCATTTATGAACTTTTTTGTCATATTTGTTAAGCAAATCACCGCAGTTGTTAAGAGAATCATGCAGCCGTTAGGTCAGGGGTGGGCAACCTTTATGACTCGTGGACTTCAACTCCCAGAATTCCTTAGCCAACAGGGCTCAGCTTGGAAACGTCTCCCTTTCCCCTCAGTATGCTGGCTCAGGAATTCTGGGAGTTGAAGTCCACGAGTCATAAAAAAGCCAAGGTTGCCTACCCCTGCGTTAGGTGCATTTGGCTTCCCCAGTTGACTGCTTGTTGGAAACTGGTTGGGAAGGTTACAAATGGTGATGACGTGACCATGGGACTGTGCAACTGTCATAAATACATGCCAGTTGCCAAACGGCCAAATTTTGATCATGTGGCCATAGGCTGCAAAAGTCATAACTGTGAAAACTGGTCAAAAGTCACTTTTTTTCAGTGCCATTGTAACTCTGAACGGTCACTAAGCAAATGGTTGTAAGTGGAGGACTACCTCGATCTATGCATGTTATTTGATGTATCTAAATCAGTGTTTCTCAATCTCCATAATGTTAAGAGGTGTGACCTTCATCTCTCAGAATTCTTTAGCCAGTTGGCTGGGGAATTCTGGGAATTCACACATCTTAGAGCTGCTGAGATCGAGAGACACCAATTTAAAATACATTTTTTGGAGAGGGGTCTGCAGCTTTCATCAGACTGTCCAAAGTATCCGTGGTACAAAACGGGTAACAATCCTTGACTTAGAGGCAGGAATAAAGGACGATATTGTTGCACAGGAAAGACAAGATAGCTAAATGTGCCTGGCTGGATAGTTGAATTGCATAATTTAAACAAATGCAGTATCTATAAAGGCAGTATTTGCAATCTTTCTAGCATTATGCATTGAAAAGAAGACAGGCAGGCCTTCTCATTCCAAGACCCTTAACGAATTCTCCTTACTTGGAGATAACATACTCCTAAGGTCAACTCTTCATTAGCCTCATTAGCATAGCTTGGAATCCAGAGCCAACTTTTTAGGCAAATCTAGATGAATGACAGGTCTCTGAAGAAGCTTGTCAAGAGCTAAGCTGCAGACCACTCAAGACCTTATGGGAAGAAATCTATTTCATGATTTTCCACATTACCCAGTGATTTCAACGTTGCATGTAGTCAACCAAAATTAAATTGACTAGAATTTACCCAAATATCAATTTTGCCCAAGGCATTATTTTGCTGCTCTAGCTATCAAAAGTTGTTCTGTTGCAAAATTATCAGCTAGGACTAGGCTGGAAGGAGCTTAGCTTGGAGTCTTTCTGCAGCTGCAAGCAGCATAAGCTAGACCTCCCTCAAGATCCATGAAGCCTTGTCTGGTTGTTCCCAAGGCAAGCAGTCTAGTGAGATTCTTGTAGCATAGATGGTAGACAATAAAGTTACTGATTTTTGTTATTCATGAGTGGTTCTGGTTGCTTGCATCCGATATGATCTGAAGAATATACGGGAATTTAGGAAATGAAGAAGGTTGAATCTGGTTTAGTCCTGAGGTCCTAAGATGGAGATACTAAGGTTGCTCCTAAGATCAGAGGATCAGAATAGAGCTGGATGGGACCTTGGAGATCTTCTAATCCAGCCCCCTGATCAAGCAGGAGTCCCTATATCATTTCAGACAGGTGGCCGACCAGTCTCTTTTTAAAAACCTCCGGTGGTGAAGCACCCACAACTTCTGAAGGCAAGCTGTTCCACTGGTTAATTGTCTTCACTGTTAGGAAGTTTCTCCTTAATTCCGGGTTGCTTCTCTCTTTGATCAGTTTCCATCCTTTGTTTCTTGTCTTGCCTTCTGGTGCTTCGGAAAAATAAACTGATCCCCTCCTCCTTGTGGCAGCCTCTCAATACTGGAATACTGCTATCATGTCCCGCCGAGTCCTTTTTTCTAGACTGGTCATTCCCAAATCCTGCAACCGTTCTTCGTTTTAGTCTCCAGGGCTTTAATCATCTGATGATCTTAATAATATGAACCTAACATTAATAAATGAAGGCAGCATTGGAGGTGAGTCCTTAGACCCTTACCTGCAAAGAAGCAAACCCTCCAGAGGCCAGCATGGAGTGCCATGACTATTTCCGTGGTCTGGTTTTGCGGAAATACAATCCCTTCCTCCATGAATAGCCAATAGTCAGTACTGACAGCAATGCCCACCAGAAGCAGCCCGCACGCTCCAAAAACACTAGACAGCAGGGTCAAGGCGCGACTGCTGCAGTTACTCATCCTAGGTTAGAGAGAGACAGCGACTGGCCAAATGCAGCGCAAGGACCTGGAAGAGAAATAAACCCCAATCAGTCCAAAACTCCAGGGAAGTACTAAAAACCAAACAAAACTGACAACAAACAGAATAACAGAGCTGGAAGGACCTTGGAGGTCTTCTAGTCCAACCTCCTACTCAAGCATGTCAGACAAATTCAGACAAAACCCCTTGTGATTTTTACTTGAATATTTGTTGCCCGTTTTTGAATCAAATGTGTTGATTCCTAGGGATCCTTATATTGTTGTGGGAAGTCACCCCCCCCCAGAGAAGTAAATATTAAAAGGGCAGAAAAATATATTTCCTCAAAAGGATTTTAAAAGAAGCAACCAACTCTGCCCCCAAGTCTCTCTGTCCCAAGCAGAAGCCAGCTCTGTACGAATGCAGATGTAAACCATCAGAAAAGTTGGAGCTAGAAGCTTAGGAAAACAAAGACACCTAAAATCTGCATACCCCACCCAAATTCTAAGAGTCATTAGCCCCAGCACCAGGGAAGCAGGATATGACTTTTGGGACATAATAGGACTAACCCATCACCATCAGAATACCAGAAAGGCACACATAGACTCAGGTCAGACTACGTGACACAGGAAATACAAAGCCTAAAACAGGAACAGGAAACTATTCCAAACAAAAGGCTTTCAGAGGGTATAAAAATCTACTCCCCACATATGCTCAGCCCTTTTTTTCTCTCCTCTTTCCTGCCAGAACCATCTTTCTGTCTGGCTCTTCAATAACTGCAACCTTCTTTCTAAAGCAGTTGCCATGTTATTTATTTATCCCCGGCTTGGATGAACCAGGATGAAGACTTTTCTTTCAACATTGTCTTGGATAATTTGAGCAAGCAGGGCCACCAAATCCATTAAAATTTTCCCCAGGCCCCAAGGAACCTGATATTGTACATAAGTTCTGAAAGATTTCCTAAGGGTGGTCTCTCCTCTTTGCATTTTTCTGATTTGGAAATGTTAAATAATTGACTATGAAACCCAGGGCAGGGGTTAGGTTTTCTCTTGTAATGTGTATTAGAGCACACTTCCCCAAAGAAGGGAAGCTTCAATGAATCAGGATTACAAGTCCCATAACTTCTAGTCTCCCAGGGCTTGTGTTTCAGGGCGCAAAAATCCTATGCCAGCATTTGGCAGGAAAATACTTAGAATGGCTCCATGTAATGTAGTTTGTAGTTTCTTAGGAACCCTGTTTTTCTACCTCTGGTCTCTTATTGATCTCATGTGCCAGGAATTCTAGTTTCTACTCTTGTACATTAAAGTGACAATTTTAACGGGAGAATTATGATTGCTTGTATTCAGCCTAACAATTTTCTGGCATTTTGCAAGTGTCATACAGGAGTCATTTTCCAACCCAAGGTTTCTTCTTCTTTTTGAAAGAGTAATCTGATATCTACCAAGCTTTGCTACTTAACCCATGGTTGGCTCTAAATTTGGCAAACTGCTTATGGATGAGGCCCCTTCACAACCTTGGCTGATCATGATGGTTGCAGTAGGATTGACAACCTTGTTGTATTTATTTATTTAATTTTATTTATATGCCGCCCAATCCCAAAGGACTCAGGGCAGCGTACAGAGTTAAAACAATCATAAAACAATAAAATAATACAGTCATACCGCGAGTCCGATCATATCCCGCCCTCCCGGGGGGACATCAGCCCCAGGCCTGCCGGAACAGGAGAGTTTTAACGGCTTTCTTAAAGGCCGGCAGGGTGGGAGTAGTTCGAACCTTGGGGGGAAGTTGATTCCACCAGGTCAGAGCCACCACAGAAAAGGCCCTTCCCCAAGGGCCCGCCAGCCGACATTGTCTGGCCGATGGGACCTGAAGGAGGCACAATCTATGGGACCTCACCGGTCTCTGGGAACTATGCGGCAGAATGTGGTCCTGTAAGTAACCTGGCCCTATGCCAGGAAGGGCTTTAAAGGTGATAACCAACACCTTGAATTGCATCCGGAGACCCACAGGAAGCCAGTGCAGCTCGCGGAGAATAGGTGACACGTGGGCGTACCTTAGCGCGCCCACAATCGCTCTCGCGGCTGCGTTCTGAACCAACTGCAGCCTCCGAACGCCCTTCAAGGGTAGCCCCATGTAGAGCGCGTTACAATAATTCAGTCTTGAGGTGACAAGGGCATGAGTGACTGTGAATAAAGCCTCCCGGTCCAAATAAGGCCACAACTGGTGCACTAGGCGAACCTGTGCAAAGGTCCCCCTGGCCACAGCCGATAGATGTTGTTCCAAATTTAGCTGTGAGTCCAGGAGGACACCCAAGTTGCATGCCTGCGCTGAGGGAGGTAAATTTGCCCCCCCCCCAGAACTAATGATGGACCATCCAGTTGGCCTTTGGGAGGCAAGACCCAGAGCCACTCGGTCTTGTCAGGGTTGAGTCTAAGCCTGTTCACCCCCATCCAGACCCTCACATCTTCCAGGCAGCGGCACATAACGTCGAATAACATCAGTCTGAGAACACCATTTTCTGATTTCTTAAAACATTTCTAAGTGTTGTTTAGATGAGAGCCATTGTGGGAAAACTAAATATGATTCTGGATCCAGTGGCCGGATGTTGACTGGAATATCTCTTACATGTGTAAAAAAATTACATTTTACCGTGGTAGAACATGTCCCCCAACAACTATCTCAATATGTAACAGTGTGGTAATAATTTTACCGAACTGTCTTTGAAAAATGTGACTTTTTCATATCTATCTATCTATCTATCTATCTATCTATCCATCCATCCATCCATCCATCTATCTATCTATCTATCTATCTATCTAAGCGGTTCTCAACCTGTGGGTCACGACCCCATTTGAGGTCGAACAACCATTTCACGGGGGTTGCCAAACAAGGCTGTCCGCCATTTTTTTCTCCTTTTCTTTAGCTGTGCTACTCCCTCTTATTCTATTGGCTTTTGAAAGCCAATAGAATAGACTCTATTCAAGAGACTCTATTCTATTGGCATTCGAAAGCCAATGGAATCTATTGGCTTTTGAAAGCCAATAGAATAGACTCTCTTGAATAGAGTCTAATTCTATTGGCTTTCAAAAGCCAATAGGAATTGTCCAGGCTGTCTCTGCCCTGCTCAGACTGCCAAAAGCCCCAGTCTGCAAACGGTGCTGCAAGGAAAGCTTCCCTCCCTGCTGAGCAACTACTAAAGGTAAATAAAAGAGGGCCAGGGGTGGGAGGTGGAAGGCCGGCGAGTGCAGGGAGGGTTGTTGGTGTGCATGGGGCCCGGCAGGTGCCTTACCTGCCTGGGCTGGCCCAGCTGGTGGCCCAGCTGGTGGTCACCCTGTGCCATCGCTGCTGCTTGCCGTGGCCGCCCAGGAGCACCTGGGCCTGCCTGCCACCTCCCTGAATGGGCAACTGCCAAGGTAAGGCTAGCGGGGCAGCAGCAGGTGCAGGGAGGGTTGCTGGCATGCGTGGGGCCCGGCGGATGCCTTACCTGGCTGGGCTGGGCCAGCTGGTGGCCCAGCCGGTGGTCGCCCTGCGCTGTCACTGCCCCTTGCCAGCTAGGCCTCGGCCGGCGCATGGGCGGACCACGCATGCGTGGTGCTCCCGGCAGGGAAAGTCCTCGACTTACAACTGGTTGGGTAGTCCTCGACTTACAACCAGTTGGGTAGTCCTTGACTTACGACCGGTTGGGGGTCGCGGCATTAAAAAGGTTGAGAACCATGATCTACCTTGTATACCACCATCTTATCAAAGGCAACTCTCTAAAACAAATCCCTCTCTAAAAACACAGGATTCTTGGACTCTATGTACATTTCTCAAAGGATTGTAAATAGTGGTAAAAGGATCTACATGGAGAAGACCCTAGATTTCTTATAGCTTTTCTGAATATATGTTCAAGTGCAGGATAGATCATTTCAGTCCTTTATTAACATAAGCCCTGCAGGACCATCTTGAGTTCATGCTTGTTCCAGCCAATAAAATAATCAATTCCTATATAACTAATATTGACCAACCCAAAGATAAGCCATGTTCCTGAATGAAACAGTGTGCAATACAGCAGAAAGGATCTTATATAGCTTGAACTGTGAACTACTATACAGTTGTCCTTGCAGTTTAGCTCCTAGGCAAGTTTGAACAACAAAACCTCCTAAGAACTTTCTAAGAATACAGATGGTAACAGGGATGCTTAGGGTGAGGAGGACACAGTACACTATTTTCTCTACTTTTATCAAGGTTTTCATCCCTTAATGAGGACATTAAAGACCAGAATTTGAAAGCAGTATTTGATTAGTGTGTGGGAAGACAGGTTTCACACTCTATTATAAAAATATTTTTGCAGAGGGTTGGTGGACCAGGACTAGCAACAGGGTTTGGTGTAACTTGGCACAATCTGCTGAAATTTAGTCCAATAAGAGGATCATCTGCCAAGCTCAACCTTCTACACTTCTGCTCTTGTTCCTTGACCTCACAGATTGCATTCACTTTCCTTTTCCAGAAATGTAAGCCATGACAAGAGTGAATAAAAGGAACATTTTCCACTTAACATGTTCCTTCTAATGGTGGGGAGAAACCAGCAAGGAGAACTTACACAACTTCCTCTCCCCAAACTTTCAGCTGACACTTGTCAGGCACAAAGGATTAGAACCATATATTAAGTTGCAATTCAAAAAGGGTTTACTGCTCAAGCCTATACATAAGAATCTAATCAACTAAAGTTCAATACTATATTGGCACCAAATAAGGGTCAAAGGAATTCAAGAGGGGTTGAACTTGGACCATCTGTGACAACTTATTGACTCTAAACTGATGACGTGCTTAGCTCTGCCCCCCAGCTCTGCTTGCTCTTCTACACACTGAAATTATGAGGGAAGAGTGCCTGTTAACAGTTTGATACAGAATTTCTGCCAAAGATCTATCTGGTAATTTGAAAATTATATGCAAATGCCTTTTTTCCCTTTCTACTCATAAGATGCACTTCTTTGGAAGTTCTGCATTTGGGTGAATTCTTCATACTCAGAGAGGAAGAACATCACACATGCTTAGTTTCTCTTGAGATA